ACAAATATGTTTAAAAAATTATTTTAGAATTTACAATACAACCTTTCGTATTCTCAAAATATTGTTTCTCTTGTTATTTATTATTTTATTTTTTTTAACTTCATATGTCGTAACATGCTCGTATATTGTTACCAAGTTTTATATTATGGCACTCTCATTGTACCACTGGTTTCTACCCTCATTTTCGTAACTTTCGTCACTTGTAACATGGTGTTGCACACATTCCACTGTTATCTCTACAACTGTCACCACCATTACTAGTTCTGCCATCATTTGTAACAAACTGTTACAATTTTAATTTTATGTAGCCATCACCACTTGTATATATCGTGATACAACATATTTGTCGTTGCTGTCGCCACCACTTGTAATATATCGTGTTGCGCAATTACGTCCAAGATCACCACAACTCAATTTAAAACCCAACTAATATCCATTGTTTCTACGTTGACACTGAGTCCAACTACAACACAACCTCTATCAATCTTCTCTTTCTCTTCACTTCTATATTTCCCTTGCAAAATGTAAGCTTGGTTGAGCCGAAACCACCGTACTCATTTTAGCTTACATACACAAATTTCAACCACTGTAGGCTAACACCCCAACAAAAACAACATTGTCACCCATCTCACCACCACCAACGTCACCATTACACAATCATCGTACATCACCAATCTCACTACCATATCAAATCATAGCAAAAAACCAATTTCTTAAAATAGAAATAAATCAATCAAAGATGAAAATAGAAGTAAAAATTCATACCCATTGCAAATAATGAGGTTTATGGTCACGATGACAACGAAGGAAGGAGCGACAATGGTGTTGCGAGATTGTAGTTGTGGTGATGGAGATGGTGGTGGTCGGTATTTGCTTATGTTACTATGTTGAAGGGCGTGTTTGCGTATATATTTTAGAAGACTATTTTTTGAATTAAAAAGTAGTAATAATATAATTGAAATATTAAAAGAAATTATGTTATGAAAGTAAAGAAAAGAGAAGAAAATAGAGAGAAGTCAATAGACTTGTGTGTGTTTTATTAAGAATCAAAATCCTGCATTTATATGACAAAACCATGGATATAGCAGTAATTATTTATAGAGTTGTAGGAGTGTAATTGTCATTCACCTCTAAACCCTAATAAACTTTCATTTTACAACGCTCCCCCTTAAATGTCACATTACAAGATATCTGACTCGTTAAAATCTTGTTTGATAAAAATTCAATGGAAAAAAATCAAAACGAAGGAAAAAGAGTACAGTTATTTTGAAGTACTAAAAATAAATGCTGCATTATTAAAACCTTGCTAGGAAAACCCAGTGAGACAAAACCTAAGCGAAGGAAATAGAGTACAGCTACTCCCCCTGATGTTGATCACTGAAAATCTTTGAGTCGACGTATTCCAATCTCATGAACTAATTTCTTGAATGTAGATACTGACAGTGCTTTTGTGAATAAATTGGTCACGTTGTCACTTGAGCGAATTTGTTGGATATCGATGTCGTCATTCTTTTGAAGCTCGTATGTATGAAATTTTTTTGGAGAAATATGTTTCGTCATATTACCTGTGATATAGCCTCCTCTGAGTTGTGTAAAACAAGCTGCATTGTCTTCATACAAAATTGTTGGACTATTCTTTGTTGAAGTTAATTCGCGTGATGTTTGGATATGATGGGTCATATTTCTCAACCATACACATTCTCAGCCTGCTTCATGGATTGCAATAATTTCAGAATGATTTGAAGATATTGTTGTCAAGGATTGCTTTACAGATCTCCATGATATAGTCGTTCTTCCACTTGTAAACACATAACATGTTTGTGATTTAGCTTTATGTGGGTCAGATAGATAACCTACATCTGCATATCCTACTAAAGCATATCTCGACTTTTGAGAATAAAATAATCTCAAATCAATAATACCCTTTACGTATCGAAAATATGTTTAACAACATTCCAATGTCTTTGAATTGGTGTAGAACTATGTCGGGTCAAGTGCAATTTGTAAGATAAGCCAATGCTCCAATTGCACTTAGATATGGTATTTCGAGACCAAGAACATTTTCTCCATCTTCAAGTGGATGAAATGGATCATTTTTCACATCAAGTGATCGAACAACCATACGTGATACCAATGGATGTGCATTATCCATATAAAAACGTTTTAAAACTTTTATGTATACGTAAATTGGTGAACAAATAATCCATCTGCGAAATAATCAATCTGTAATCCGAGACAAAATTTGATTTTTCCTAAATCCTTCATTTCAAATTCATTTTTCAAATAATCAGCAGTTTTGTTAAGCTCTTCTGGAGTTCCAGTTAAATATAAATCATCAACATAAACTGTCATGATTGCAAATCTACTATTTGTTTTCTTTATGAAAAAAGGCAGATATCGTCATTTTTATAACATTCATTTAACAAGTATTCGATAAGGTGATTATATCACATGCGTCCGAATTGTTTTAATCCATATAATGATCTTTACAATTTAACTGAAAACATTGTTCTCGGGCATGTATTATTTGTTTCTGGCACTTTAAGTCCTTCAGGGACTTTCATATTTATGTCATTATCAAGTGAACCAAACAAATATGCAGTTACTACAGTCATAGGGCGCATATCAAGCTTTTGTGATATAGTCAAACTAATTAAGAATCTTAAAGTAGTGATGTCCATTACGGGAGATTATGTTTCCTCGTAATCAATTTCTGGTCTTTGTGAGAAACCTTAAACAACTAGTTGAACTTTGTATCTTGTAATTTCATTATTTTCATTCATCTTTCATACAAAAACTCTTTTGTATCCGACAGTTATTACATTTTCAGGTGTTTGAATTACAAGTCCAAACACTTTTCATTTCTCCAAAGAACTCAATTTCGCCTGTATGACCTCTTTCCATTTTAGCCAATCATTTTTATTTTGAAAGTCTTTAATCGACTGTGGTTCAGGATCTTCATTTTGCATAATATCAAGAGCTACATTAAAGGCGAAAATATTATCTATAACAATATTATTTCGTTCCCATAATTTATGAGATAACATATAATTTATTGAAATCTCATTATTTTCGGACATTTGTGGTTCTTCAGGAACCGTATTTTCAATATATGATTAATCAATCTTTTCTAATGTGACTTCTTCCGAAATTTTTGGTTGGTTTTTCTTATGTACTTTTCTTTTTTGAACTACAGAGTTTTTTGAACCAACTGGTCAATCACACTTCTGGCGTATTTGAGATTCATTTGCTACAACAAATTGTTCTGCAGGGACATCAATTTTTGCTGAAATATTTTCTGTCGGAACATATGACTTTGTCACTTTTCTTGTATCAACAAATACATTAGGTAATTGATTTGCAACTCTTTGTAGATGAATGATTTTTTCAACCTCTTGCTCACATTGATTGCTATGGGGATCAAAGTGAGATAGAGTTGCTTCATTCCAAATAATTTTACCTTATTTTTCATGATGTAGTTTTTCTCCTTCCAAAGTTGGGAAAGTCATTTCATCAAAATGACAATTTGTAAAACGTGCAGTAAATAAGTCACCCGTTAAAGGCTCAAGATACCTAATAATTGATGATAAATTAAAACCCACACAAATCCCAAGTCTTCGTTGGGGACCCATTTTAGTACGTTGTGGGGGGGGATAAAATAGGAAATTGGATAGCACAACTAAAGACTCGTAGGTGAGAAATATCATGTTCATAACCAAATGCTAGTTGCAAAGAAGAATATTGATAATAGACTATTGGTCTAATAAGAACCAATGATGCAGTATGTGATATGGCATGACCCCAAACAAAAGCTAGGAGTTTTGTTTTCATAAGTAATGGTCTAGCAATAAGTTGTAGACATTTAATAAACGACTCTGCCAAATCATTTTGTGCATGAACATGTGCAACTAAATGTTCAATTACAATCCCGATTGACATACAATAATCATAGAATGCTTGTGATCTAAATTCACCAGCATTATTAAGGCGAATAGTTTTAATAGAGTAATCGAGAAATTGTGTTCATAATTTTATAATTTGAACAAGTAGTCTAGGAAAGGTTACATTCGTTGTGGAAAGTAGGCAAATATGTGACCATCTAGTAGAAGAATCAATTAATACCATAAAATAATGAAATGGTCCACATGATGGGTGTATTGGCCCACATATATCTCCATGAATTCTTTTCAAGAAAGTTGGAGATTCAATATTGACCTTTGTAGTTGAAGGTCTAATGACTAACTTGCCTTGGGAACACGTTACACATAGATAATCATTAGGTAAAAGAATATTCTGGTTCTTTAAAGGATGTTCATGTGAATTGTTTATTATTCGACGCATCATTATAACTCCTGGATATCCAAGTCAATCATGCCAAAGAATAAACCTTTTTAGGTCAACCAACTTCTGGTTTGTGATATTTTTTAATTCAACCATTTTTATAGATGTATAGTACATGCCAGATGGGAGTACGTGAAAATTTTCTTTTATCTGCTTCTGACCAGATACAAAAGAAGTTATGCAAAGATATTTGACATTATTTTCTTGCGTCGTCTCAATATGATATCCATTGTAGCGAATATTTTTAAAACTAAGCAAATTTTTTCTGGGCTTGCTAGAATAAAGTGTATCGTCAATATATAATTTTGTATTATTTGATAAAATAATAGAAGCTCTTCCGAAACTTTCAATGATATTCGATGCACCTGATATTGTAATGACATTATTTTTTTTAATGTTAAGTTCAAGAAATATTTTTTGTCTTGAAGAATAATATGTATAGTTGCACTATCAATCAAGAAGGTGTCTTGACAATCTATCATGAATATATCAATATAACAAAATAGATATATTTAAAAAAAAGAACTTAAATTCAAAATGGTAAGCATAATTAATACTCTGAAATTAACTATGCATAATAAAGTTCAAATTTTTTGCGAAAAGTAAAAACATATTTTAAACTAAATTTCTAAAATAAAGGGAAATACTAGACAAAAAAACTAATCTATATCTTTCACCACACCACCCCCAATCAAATTGTCAATATTTCCATTTGGATCAGCAAAAAAATCTGAGACATCCAAATGTGTCACATTAATTGGACAATTATAGTCAGCAAAATTTGTCTCCACTTTTTCCTTTCCCTTGATTGATTTTTGATAGAGATCCATAAGGTGTTTTGCCGTACGACAGGGACGTGTCCAATACCCTTTCATTCCACATCTAAAGCAACTTTTTTGTGTACCTTTTTGGATATGCTACTTTCGTTTATTTTGTGCCTTTTGAAATTGTTGCTTTGTTGTTGATAACTTTGTTGATTATTCTGTCCACGGTTTACTCCGATTGTGCATTTCTACGTCCATGTCCTTGTCTTGATATTGCATTTGCTTCAGGCAATACAATACTATTTGCTTCAGGTAATGGTACAGAACTAGTTGAACGTAATCCATGATTTTTCATCAACAGTTCATTATTTTGTTCAGCAACAAGTAGGTAAGATATAAGTTTTGAGTACTTTTTGAAACCACACTCGCGATATTGCTGCTGCAGGAATACATTCGAGGCGTAGAAGGTGGAAAACGTTTTATCCAACATATCTTTATCAGTGATTTTTCCTCTACACAATATCAATTTTGAACATATTCTGGTCAATTCAAAATTGTACTCACTAATAGTTTTGAAGTCTTGCAAACGAAGGTGCATCACTCATAACGGGCTTTGGGAAGGACTATAATCATTTGATGATCAAATCTTTCAGTTAATTTTTTTCAAAGAACATGTGGATCTTTCTCAATGAATATTCAATTTTTAGTCCATCCTGAAGATGATGGCGAAGGAATATAAGTGTTTTTGCAAGATCCTGCAGGGATTCTTTATTTTCTTCTTTTTTGTCTTTCCCAGACATTTTGAGATAAGATAGATATCAGCATCGAATACCTATGATAGATAATTTTTTCCAGATATATTAAGTGCAGCAAACTCGAGTTTCGTGATATTTGTCATTTGATTAACTACACAATAAAGTAAAAGAAAATATAATTAGTTTTGAAAATATGATTAAACATCATATAATAATTAATCAAGTAGTCAATATCGATATGACATAAGTTACGTGTTTTCCTTAAAAAATAAACACTAAAATAATATTTTCTTTGAAACATATGCTACTTCAGAAGCATTATTTTATTATTATTTCTTCAAGATCAATACGTCAATATTCTTCTGCAATATTGAAAAATATAATTTATACTCTTCAGGAACAAATAATATTCTTCAAGAATATTAATTATAATATTGCGTTATTTCAAGAGTATCAACAAACTATTTATAATAGATAGATCTTTGATTAATATTTATCTAGAGTATTAATTATAATATTTTGCTACTTTAGGACCAATAACATAATACATTACCAATTTAAAATTTGTAGACAAATATCTATAAAAAAAAATCAAATTAAAGACACAAAGAGTATTTAATAATAATCACAAATGTACATCTAAAAGAAATAAAGCAAAGAGTACATGAACTAAAGTATGAATTGAAAAATAATATGTGGCAATCATGAATAATGTGTATAGGCACGAATTAAAGGAGACATGATTATTTCTAAACCATACAGATGCGTGAATAGTTAAAGACATGATGAATTAATTCATTGAGGATGGACATCAATTACAAAAATTAAGGAATTGCATAAACCAATAAGCAGAACCATTGGATTCAAAAATAAATAAATAAATACATAAATTGGGTACATATAATAATGGCAGTGACAGAAGGTGCAAATAAACTATTAGTTGATATAGTTTATTTTTACAAAAGAAACCATTATGGTGACGACACGAAAAGAGAAGAATGATTACACGTTGGCTAAGAAAAGAGAAAAGAGAAGAATTATGCTTTGGCTAAAAAATAATCATTGTGTCTATGCAATAATGTGGCAGAGTCAAGGGACAAATCAAGCGGGTCACGTAATCATTTTGACAGAAATAATATGATTTCGATATAAAATTCACGTGTTTATCAAATTAATTTTGATACACGTGATAAATAATTATGCTAAAAAAATTACTACCTTATATAAACTTTGAAAAATTAAGTTATCGTGCTGATAACGTGTTATGAAAGTGAAGAAAAGAGAAGAGAATGGAAGAAGTCAATAGATTTGTGTGTGTTTTATTAATAATCACAGCTCTGCATTTATAGGTCAAAATCAGGGATACAACAGTAATTATTTCTAGGGCTGCAGGGGTGTAATTGTCATTCAGCTCTAAACCTTAATAAACTTTCCTTTTACAAAAAATTAGAGTTTATCTGTATTTTCTTAACATTCTCATAAAAGTCCCATAACCGTACTAAAAAAATCAAAATTTTAAATATACGTGAGATTTGTTTAACTTATTCTTTTTTCAATACTTTGTGCCTATATATATATTTTTTACGTGCTTTTACACGTTCAAGGCCGGCCATGGCCCAAGGCCTACGGCCTCAACAATTTGGGGGCCTAAAAAAAAAAACCCTAAAAAGACATTCTCATAAAAGTCTCATAACCGTACTAAAAAAATAAAATTTTAAATATATGTGAGATTTGTTTAACCTATTCTTTTTTCAATTCTTCACACACCTATATATTTTTTTTTACGTGCTTTTACATGTTCAAGGCTAGCCTTTACCCAAGGCCTACCAGGCAAAGGCCTAGGGCCTCAAAAGTTTGGAGGCCTAAAAAAACACTAAAAAGGCGTCTCTTTCTCTTTTTCTCTTCCATCTTTTCTTGAAGGTAAATTATTTGGATTCAAAAATCAAAATCTTTATTCTTGGAGGCCAACTGAATTAGCTGCAACAATCAACAGTATTGTATGTTTCTAGGGAAAAAATATAGACAATAGACATTGATAGGAGTTAGGACACTATCTGGTTTCATAAGTTTAGAGAATGGAAGAATGTTAAAGTGCGTTGAACTTATTCAAGATTTGACATCAATTAGTAGTACCTTTTCTTCTTCCATTACTACAAATATAGCTACCAGTGTTGTTCCATCATCAGTGCCCCAAAGTCCGAATGGGGTGTTGGAAGCTGCTAGCTTGAGCTATAAAAGTAATGAGAGAAATCCAAATGCGTTAGATGCCAAGAGGAGAAGATTGGACTACATGTGAATATCATTTTTTTGTGAAATGGGAGGCTGACTATCATTTTTGGTGAATGGAAGACTTTGGTATGAGGTTTCGAAAGTGCCAACAAATAGAGAGGTTAAAAAGAGAACTTGTCAATTAACATATCAATATACATAGATTGGGTAGCTAAAGGCAATTTTCAAGTATTCATGGAAAATTGTCTCTGATGAAAAATAGATGAGCAAAGGCTTAGCCTTAGGCTAGAAGAGAAAAAACATGCATTTGGGTTCTTAGTTATTTGTTTATATAATGAACACCTGGGGATGGCATTTCATGTATCCTTTCATTAAACCAAAAAAACTAGTGCTAAATAAAAACGTTGAGTTCTCTTCAAAAAGCGAAAAAAATTCTATACAAGTTCTATTTTTTAGATTGTACAAAGTATTCGTTTATATGTCATTTATTTAAAGATTGTTGGGCTTGCTTAAATAATTAAAAAAAAAGATGAAAATTACATAAAAACATACTTTTAAAGATTCCATTTCATAAATCATATGCTAAGTTTATTGTTTCCAAAATTAGATATTTGTTAATTAATATATTATTATTTTAAAAATATATTATAAAATTAAAATAATACACATCTACCCACCCCACCCAACCACCCCTCTGAAACCCTAATCTCCTTAGTATTTTCCCCCTCTCTCTCTCTTCCCCCATTTCACTTCTCTGTCTTAATGGAATGGAGTTTCATCGGGGCCATTCCAACGGTGAGGCTGCAGCTACATCGAGCTATGATTTCTATAGGTGTACACGACGTGAGTGGCTGCAGTCCCGACCAATGTGCACGGGAATCTGCAACCTCTGATTGTCGTGAATGACTGCAGTACCGGTCGATATGCATGGGAATATGTAACATCCGATTATCTAAGATCTATAGTGCACGAATAATGAGCACATCTATAGAGACGCGATCTTTTGTAGCGACAAAATCTACAGCAGTGCATCGTCGTCGGTAGTGTTGCAGTTTTTTATTTTTTTTAATTAGATCTATTTAGTTTGATTAATATTATTTTTTTGTGGTGGTTGGTGTTTTTGCAAATAGTGGTGGTGGTTGAGTAGATGGCGATGTTGATGCAGTCAGTGGTTGTGATGGTATGCTGGTGCAGGCAATGGTGTTGGAGGAGATGGTATAGTCGTCGTGGTAGTATTTGGTAGTGGTGTTGGTTGTCATGGTCGTTGTTAGCTCGTGTGTGGTGGCGGCGCTACTGGAGGCAGGGACGACGTGGTCGTCACAATTAGTGATGCTGGTGGTGATAGTCGTAGCAATGACGAAGGTGTTCTAACAGTGTAGCGATGTGGGTGTGGCAGTGGGGGGATGAGTTCTGTGATGCTGAGGATGTGGCGGTGGTGGTTCTGTGATGTTGTGATTGTGGTGATGGTACGGTGAGTTCTATGATGTTGTGGGTGTGGCAATGGTGGTTCTGTGATGCTAGGGGTGTGGTGGTGGTCGTTCTGGCGTGTAGTAGTTTTGGTGGCATTGCAATCGATGACGGTGGTGAGGTGGTCGTCACAAGTGTCAATGGCGGTCACAAATGATTTGATTGACCGTAACCATTAAATTGGTTAACCGTGACAATAAACAATATGTGACTAATAAAAAAGATAAATTATGACAAAAAATAGTATGTGACCTAAAATTTTATTAATTTGTGACAAGTTATTTGATATTTTTTGACTGTATAATAAATTATAACTTTTAAAATTTGTGATCTGTGAATTATAAATAAATTGTGACTAAAAGTTTTTTTTTTAATTTGTGACCGATGAACAAATTGTGATTTATGAATTTTTTTGATCTATGATCGTTAAATAATTTTTGACCTATAAAATTTTTGATTCGTGACCAAAAAAATCGGTGACCTATAAAATTTTTATTTGTGATCGAGAAATAAATTGTGACTAAAAATCAATTTGTGACCAATTAATTTTTTGATTTGTGGCTGATGAAAACACTGTGACCTATAAAAATTTTGAATTGTAATTATAAAATAATTTATGACGTAAAATTTTTGATTTGTGACAAAAATGTAACCATAAAATAATTTGTGATATAAAATTTCTGATTTGTAACTAAAAAAAATAAGTGACTAATTAAATCGTTAATTTTGATCAAATTGTATAGATATGTGACCTAAATATATGTAATTAATAAAATAATTAATTAATTAATTAAATCATAAATAAAATTTAATAAAAATTTGATTTTTGAAATTTGAAACTTGTTTTCTTAATTTAAAAATGTATGATACTTATATTCTTATGAGATTTTCCTTAAAACAAACACTTATGTGGGTGTATTCAATCGGGATTTTTGAAGACTTTGGTGAACTTTTTTTAAGTGATGACTTTTGTGGATTTCGTAGATCTTTTATAGATTTGTATGGAATTGGTGGAAATCTTTCGTAGATTTCTATGGACTTTCATTTTAAAATTTTTATAGACTTTCGTAGAATTCAAAAGATTTTTAAAAATTTTCATTTGAAATAGAATTTACGTGGATCTAGTATAATGGTGTGAATTTTTCATATACAAGATGTTAGTTCCTACAATTTCATATTCTTCCCCCTTCATCCCATATAATAAAAAAAATTTGAAAAAAAAATTTAAAACATTAATTAAATAAATAATAATAATAATAATAATTATACATATATATGATTCAATATTATTAATATTGTAAACTTTTAAAAATAAATATATTTAAATTTAATTATAAATTTTTCATATAAAATTTTATAATTTAATAAAAAATAGATATTTTTCAAAAAAAATGAATGAAAAAAGAAAAAAAAAATAAGCAACAAGAATCCAATTTAATTTTTGCATAGAAGATGGAGATAACTAATAAGAGAGAGAAGGGAAGATAACTGGAAATAAATATAATCAATAGAAAAAAATAAATTTTAATCATACACGTCCATTGAAATTTGAAGGAAAAAAGATTGAAAAAATTTGTGAAAGTCTTCCAAAATCTCATTATGAATGAGTAAGATAATTTTAAAATATTATATGAGTACTTTGTACTTAAAAATTAGTACTTCAAATATTTTTATAAAAGTCTCTAAAAGTCATCATTAAAATACTAATACTCCAAAACTTATAAATACTTCTAAAAAGTTCTAATTTAATACACTGTAATTTTTTGGGACTTTTTAAAAGTCTATAAAAATTTCACTTGAATGTACCATGACTTTTAGAGACTCTTTAAAAGTTTATAAAAATCTCAATTGAATACGTCGTGGCTTTTAAATAGTTTCAAAAAGTCTCAATTGAATACTTCTAAACTTTTTAAATCTTAAAAAGTCATTAAAAGTCTCAATTGAATGCACCCCCTTAATGTTTAAGGGCCTCAGAAAAATCAATCGTCTGGGACCTCAAAATTCTTAAGGCTGGCCCTGTACACATTTATACAATATTCTTTTGTTTTCACTTTCTTGAATCTTACAAAAATATGATCAAGGCTCGATCGCTCGTGTCAGTCTTACACGATGTCCATTGAAAGTCTAATGAAGGTCGGCAACTTAGGCCATGGGCCTACTTGGTTGCCCATTGATCTCGATCAGATAAGTTCATGTTTTCACATTAACATTAAAAGGTCTTGTAATCTCGTTTCTAATTAACAAAAATGAAACTAAAGAAACTTGGTAGATTGCAAATCAATTAGTATAGAATTCTTCATTGCTAAATTTAGGTCCGCTGATTGGAATAGAATTTGGCACATGCGTGGGACCCTTTTGCGCTAACTACGGACCTAAACAACGTGCACAACACAATGGTGCCACGATTATTATCAATTATAAAAAAGTATCTATTTTTATTTATTCATTTTAGTCAAATGAACTTGACAGCAACTATCCTTTCAATAGGAAGCGTCTGGATAAAATTGAGAAAATTTCCTTTTTCAAATTGAGTGTGAGAGAGGTATAATAATAATTCTTGATTTTAAAAATTAAAAAAAAAAAAAAAAAAGATGCGACTATGATTTTTCAAATGGAGAATGCCAAGTGCAAGGAAGATTAAGGCTCTGTTTGAGCCCCATTATTTTTTTATTAAAATGAAAAATATGATCTTATCCATCACATCAAACTACCATATTTGATTTTTTATTTTTTATGTGTGATCCATAACAGTTATATTTTTCATTCTTATTTTTACAATAATGTGACTCAAACAAGGGCTAAAATGAACTTTTTAACTCTATTACTCATTACCTTTAACCTTCAATGCACGGTCTTGAATTCTCAACATATTTAGGTCTTATTTGACCCCCATTATTTTTTCATTAAAATGAAAAATATGATCATTATTCATCATATCAAGTCACTATATTTGACTTTTATCTCTTATGTGGGGTTCATAACGACTATATTTTTCATTCTCGTTTTATAATAATGTGGCTCAAACAGGAGCTTAAATATGTGTATCTTAATTTCTTTGGGACAAAAATTATTAATGTGATTGTTAAAATTGAATGTGTCTTTCACATGACCAAAAGCTAAATGTTATGACGATTTCGACCTTCAATTTTACACTAATAAGTTGTAAATGATTTTTTTCCCTTGCATAGATCAATATTCACTTATTTAAATCTGACCTCACTTATAAGTTCTGGAGACCGAAGGAGACCTACTTTAATTTTTTCAATGATAATTCTACTATGTGCTATACAAAACTTACAGCCCTCTCACATGAGAGGGCCCTCACGTTGATAATAGGACCCTCTCATGTGAGGGGTCTATCATGCTTGCTGTACATGAGCATGACTCTTTTTTCAATACTTATCGGCTCTAAGGATTAACTTGTTACACCATCAATGCACCAGAGGCATGTAAACCAAAAATAGAAGTCATCCAAGTTCCAACTCAAAAGGTTATCTTTTGTCAAGTTTATTCCTTAAACTTAAATTACTTTTATATGATAAGGACACACACAATATGACCAAGTGTAAATTCAAAGATGACAACATTTCATAACAAGAAGGGAACGTAGGAACGATGAATTTGGAAGGCAGGGTAGGAACATGTCGAAAATTAAAATATCTTCATTTATCATCCATCTTACATATTTATATTTATATTTTAATATTATTTATTATTTATAGATATAACTTATATATAAAAATAAAATAAAAAATTGACTTTCGAATCAATTTGACTCGACTCGATTCGTTGATATCCCTGAAAATAATGTAGATCAAACATGATAAAATTTAAAATGTGTTGGTCCCCCAGGCACCGCCGCACATTACATTCAAAATTCAAAAATCAGACGTTTCCAAATGCCAACGACTCTAAACCAACGGACTTCCTACGTAATACCCAATCTGTCCCACCTAACGAAACCTAAAAATCTACAAAATATTCTACAAAAATATTTTCCAAAATTGAAAATAAAACAATAAAAATAAAAATATATCATTACAGCCTTCACTAAGCTGTCTTCATTTTTGGAATCCGCGTCTGCTACTTTCTTTTACCACTCTGTTCACACATCTGCTCACACGCCTTCGGACCTTCGGTATCTATAATATATGTGCAGTAGATGTAGAAAGAGAAAAGGAACAGAAAAACTGAGTTCTATTGATTGTTTTGTATGTATACACGTTTGCTCTGTGTTTGAACTGGAACACGCTCACATTCAAGGATCATGACCGCGACGATCCGTTTTTTCGTTTTCTTATGTATTCTTTTCATTTCGGGTCAAACCCGGGCGCAAACCAGAACGCCAGCCGGATCAGAAGCGCCAGCACCGGCTTCTGATTCTTGCGACGGAGTATTTCTCTCCTATACTTACAAAACTGGGAAAATTATACCCCCGACTCTCAAGTCCGACCCGACCCGCCAAGCGTACAGATTCGAATCTACTCTCTTTGTGCTGAATAATGACTTAGAGGAGCTCAAGTCATGGCGGGTCTTTGTCGGATTTCAGCATGATGAGCACTTGGTATCCGCATCGAATGTGGTGCTCGCAGATGGGACTTCACTTCCTGCAAGTGTGGGAAATGGGTCGGTTTTTGCGGGCTACCCAAATGCGGATCTGAAGACGGGTGTTGAAACCGCCGGTGACTTGACCCAGATGAGTGTCCAGGTCGATTTGGTAGGGACCCAGTTCGGAATCGGGGCGCCGGATGTTCCATTGCCCAATAATATATCTCTGGTGAATGATGGGTGGGTTTGTCCAAAACCCTCTAATCAAGGTGAGTCATTCTCTAATGTTTATAATTTTAGTTTTGTTTAATTTTATTCTGTATTTTATTGATTTTGAAGTTGGAGATTCTGGTTAATTTTTTCTGTATTATGTGGTACGATTAGTGAATTATTTGTTTATTATATTTCTATTGGTCTCATAGTTTCTGAGGACAGAGATGATGAGGTCGGTGTATAGTGTTAACCATTTTATTCTCGTGGCTTCGAGCTATTTCTCTGCACGAACCCTCCTACCATCGTCAACTCATTTGATCTTATGCTTGATGACATAGAAGTGTAGAAAATATTTGAATTTTTAGGATGATGTGGTTTTTGTTAATGAGCTGGATTTGAGCCACGTCAGAGGGATCCAAGGCGTGAGAAAAATGAAGCTGTGGAGTTTTGGTTGACTTCTGTTTCATAGCGTGATCAAGAAAACGCTATTTAATTGGGATTTTGTTTTATGGCATTCTACATTTATGATAGTCCGAGAGTCGATTTATTGATTTTGGAGGGTTGGGGTTTGATAATGTTATTCGAGCTACTCCATGGGAGCTTGTGAGTATGTTCAAGAAGGGGAGAAGCTCAGGAAGTTGGGAGACAGGGAGGGGAACGGGGGAAGAAATTTGGGAGCCTTAATCGGACTTATTTAACAATGACCATTGTAAGAAATAAGAATACCCTTTTGATATACCCATTTGGGAGCCTTAATTGGACTTATTTAACAATTTGGAAGTCGATTGATTGATTGATTTCATTGTACTTGCATTAATTATATAATTTTCTAGTGCAAACATGCACGTTTCAACATCTGTTTGACATGTCTTCAAGGACGATAAGTCTTTTGAGGTTGAGCTGAAAAAATTAATATTGGATATAAATTTCATCTGATGAACGAATCATGTGTTCTCCATGGTTGATTTGCGCATTGTTTGGGATATTGTTAAGATTTTTCTCAATATCTCCTATTTAGTACATTGGCTCCAAAAATTTGTTTTATCTTGCTCACGCTTATGCTTTTAGTGCATGTTCAGTATGAACGGTATAATAACACGAATTTAGCTTGTTATGTTGAAATTCATAATTAATGAGGTCGTATTTCCGTTTCTTTCAGGAAAGAGTGTACGGCAAGTGTGTTGCTCCAGAGATCCAAAGTTCAAGTCGAATGTTACTTTGGATGAAGAATTTCTACCACGTCAAGATGGTGACCTCACGATAATGTACGACATAATCAGAACATATGAATCGAATTATTGGGCGCAGGTTACGATTGCAAACCATAACCCCCTTGGCCGTCTTGATAACTGGCGGTTAAGCTGGGATTGGATGAATGATGAGTTCATTTTCGCCATGAAAGGAGCCTATCCCTCCGTGGTAGATACATCAAAGTGTGTCTTTGGCAAACAGGGTGAGTTTTACAAGGATCTCGACTTTTCCACTGCATTGAATTGTGACAGGAGACCAACGATAGTTGACCTGCCTTTAGCGAAAACAAATGACACGAACCTAGGAATGATACCTTACTGTTGTCGGAATGGGACAATCCTGCCACCTGCCATGGACCCGAGCAAGTCAATTTCAGCATTCCAGATTAATGTTTTCAAAATGCCGCCGGATCTTAATCGCTCCATTCTATCTCCACCACAGAACTGGGGAATCTCTGGCAGATTGAATCCCACTTACAAATGTGGACCACCCGTCCGAGTAAGTCCCAGCCAATATCCAGACCCAAGCGGGTTATTGTCAGATTCCGCTGCAATGGCAAGCTGGCAAGTCATCTGCAATATTACGAAACCAAAGGGAGTGAGCCCCCGATGCTGCGTATCATTTTCTGCTTATTACAATGAATCTATCATCCCATGTCCAACATGCGCCTGTGGTTGTCCTGCTAATACTGATAGCACTTGTAGTACTAAGTCTCCGGCTCTTTTTCTTCCGTCTCAGGCACTTCTCATCCCGTTCGAGAATCGAACTACTTTATCCACTGCTTGGGCCGATCTTCATCACTTCCCAGTTCCAAACCCTCTGCCGTGTGGTGATAATTGCGGTGTTAGCATCAACTGGCATTTGTTCACAGACTACAGAGGCGGATGGTCTGCAAGAATTACTATCTTTAACTGGGACGAATTTTCTTTCGTTGATTGGTTCACAGCAATTGAATTGGGCAAAGCAGCTCCTGGTTTTGAAGCAGTCTACTCTTTCAATGGAACTACATTGAATGGTGTCAACAATACGATTTTCATGCAAGGCCTCCCTGGCTTGAACTATCTCGTGGCAGAAACAGATAGCGCTAACCCACAGAAGGATCCCAGAGTTCCCGGGAAGCAACAATCCGTAATTTCATTCACAAAGAAGTTGACCCCCGGAGTAAATATTCCCGGCGGTGATGGATTTCCTACAAAAGTTTTCTTCAACGGGGAAGAATGCTCACTACCCAAAGTACTTCCCAAAAGCAATTCCCATAGATTCGGCTCGTCTGTTTTGATATCTGTCATCTTGGCCGTTGCAGTTTTCTTGGCGATGCAGTAATAGCCATTGTTTCATGGCCGTTGATTTGTTCATTCTTTTCATGACATGATAATATCATTCGTGTTCTTCAAGTAATTTTATACAGGTCGGGGATTTTGAGTACTTAAATCTTCTTGTCGATGATTGCTGATAAAAAATTAAGTTGGTACTGTAACATACCCCGTGTAGTAGCTTGACACAACATCTTGTATTTTACAACAATGCTATTTGTACATTAACATTTCGACATCATTCTTGACATTCCATTGTTTTCAAAATAAGTGATGGTGGGAAAGTGTTTTTTATTTTCAAACTGTCCAATATGATGTTGGCATGTGGCACAATGTAAAGAATGATGTCAAACTCAATGTACAAGTAGCATGATTCTGGATTTTTTACACATCGTTGAGCATTTCTTGGGATTTTTCCTGTATATTAACATGTTTTCAAGGTAATGTCTTGAGTATTATTTTTGTTCGCTCCGTTGACCTTACAAACAATCGGACCCTTCAAAATATTATTGATCAAGGGATAATTGTAGCTACGCTTTCAAACCTTTCAAAACGTTATATGTTATTCTTTGAACTTTCATTTGTTTCAACTGTGGTCTCAAGCCTTTCAAATGCGCGGGTGGGATTTTTCCTGTATATTAACATGTTTTCAAGGTAATGTCTTGAGTATTATTTTTGTTCGCTCCGTTGACCTTACAAACAATTGGACCCTTCAAAATATTATTGATCAAGGGATAATTGTAGCTACGCTTTCAAACCTTTCAAAACGTTATATGTTATTCTTTGAACTTTCATTTGTTTCAACTGTGGTCTCAAGCCTTTCAAATGCGCGGATCTAGAGCCTTCATTTTATTTATTTATTTATTTTTGATTTTTTAGTTTAATTTTTAACTTAATTTAAAACTTGTAACGTTTTAAAAGTTTTGGAGGCCCAATTGCAACTATGCCTTGATCCAATTTAGGTTAGAATGGTTCAAGATTCTAGCCTAGTGACGAAGCTACCAGCAGCAAGCCTTTTATAGGGAAAGTTTAATTCCAAATCAGAGACACCGTAGTACATAAGGGGACAAAGCCAAAGACTAGTCTATGCAAGTCCGGAGAATTTATTGCTCAAGCTTCTGGATCTGGGAAGACATACCAGAAGTTCTCCCGCTCAACCTGAGGAAAACTAATGAAGAATACATCAAGTTTGAATTGAGATTTCCCAGGTTCAAGAACAAGCATTAAAACGGTTGACATTTTTCTCCAGTGGAGTGTTCAGCATATCAACCACTAGGCATGATATATAAATTTTCAAGTGAAAGGAAAAAATTTAAAGAATGGCAAAAATAGTTTCTTGAATTCAAATCCAATCTATACACAGCATCCAAATTCTGGAAAAATAAACATTTGTTTTATTTGAGTTAGCAGAAACAAGTTTGCAGAGAGAAATAGACTGGCACCCGCAAACGAGGAAATTTCACAAGTTCCCAAAAATAATACTGTATCTACTACAATAGCCTACTCTGAAAGCAGTCAAAATTTCGCCTTTCTTTGCATATCTTGCATGTTACCCCTTCATTAGCTTCAATATTAGCTGATCCACCTGACCGAGCATCATGCTTTGCATTATAATTTCAAAAGAAATAAACACAGCTTGCTATTCACACCAGAATAATGCAGCTAAATTAACAATATCCTACTTCTGGTAGCAGACGTGAAACCAAATCTTTAGCCTTCAATCAGAACGGGTCATTCAGCAACTGGGTGAAAGTGCTAAAGATACAATAAGCTACAGCAGGAAGATGTGTCACACAGGCAGATTATCCAAGTGATACCCATCAAAGCCAAACTCGCTTTCAACAGCTCCCGTGCCTTCTTGCTGCTATAATGAGAACATGCTTGAATTAGACCAATATAAGATTAATTTGTTTAGAATTTACTAATTTACTTTAAATAAAACATTATAAGCTTAGCCAAATATGCTCCTAATCAATTTAAATATCTAGAAATACTTTTTCCCAAGGATAAAAATAAAGAGCCTTGCCTGTTTGAGAAGTGCGCTCATGAGATCATCCTGACCAAACTGTTCAGGAAAGAAGGTATTCTGGAAGCCCATGTTGGGCAGTCTTTCAGCCTTGATCCTTTGTGAAATATCAGCAGGAGATGAGTTAAGTTGTTGACTGGGGTTGGAAATGTTACCAGCTCTACTGTCCCCAACTGCGAAGGTTGCCTTACTGACAGGTATATTCCTGCTTTGTTCACTCTTAAGGTTTGAAGAAAACCCTTGTTGAACTAAAATTGACGGTGAAACATCTAGGCTTCCCTGTAAGTTTGAATGCTGAGACACGTCAAAAGTTGATCCAACAGTCTGCACACCCCAATCTTGAGTTCTGTTCTGATTCAGCTCATCAAAAGTGTCATAATTAGGAAGATAACCTCTAGGCACTTTCATTTCTGATTTAACCTCTTCTTGCAGCATCCCTTTAGAGGTAAGAATAGGTATACCTGAATTACTCATGAGAGGAAAACTGTTACCCGGAAACTCAGTCCCATGATTTACAGAAAAATCTAGGGCCGAAGAGGGCTGTGAAACAGAACCAAATGTTCCCCCACGAACGTTTTCAATTCCATTTCGGGGCAAAACAGAGCTGGGGAGCGCCTGCGACATGATGGGTTGACCTAGAGATGATGGAAGAGTTGAGACATGGCTACCATTGATTTCATTTAATAATGGTGTCCTAGGCTGAGATTGAGGCCTCTGTGTCAGTAGAGAGCCGCTTTGGCTTGACTGAGATTGGAGTTGCATATTCAGGTTCCCCAACGATTGTGCAGATTGGTGCAAAGTAGCAAGCTGCTTTGGTTCCATATTTGTCGGGATACCATGGAGCAAGTTGATTTGCTTACTATTATTGTTAAGAAGTGAATCCTCGCCGAACCTTAACTTAGGACTTTCAAAGCTGAAAAGATTTCTTTGATCGACTAGTGGCACCGGTACGGGTGATTTGTTTGTAGCCCTACCAAGTGCTGCTGCCTGGATTATAGCGAGGCTTTGTGGTGGAAGCTGACCTGAAGAAGCAAGAGCTTGAAGTTCAATCCCATTGAAAGAAGACATAGACCCAAAGGTTGCATCTGTGGGTCCCATAAATGCATTATTGAGTCCATTCTGATGCTGTGATACGCCGCTTAGCCTTCTAAGATAAAGACGATACTTCTGTGTCAATAAGGGTTGCTACGGTCAGAATCTTTCAAGAGAAATGAACCACAGGTCTCAAGTAAATGACGAAAATCAAAATCGCACAAGTGTCGTATAAAGTAAGTGGAAGAGAAGATGTTGTCCAACCTGAAGATGGCTTGCAACATTCTCCCTTGTAAGTCCCGGAACATTCATTAGTTCCAGAATTTTCTTAGGAACGGCCTCTGCATTCATTCGAAGAGTTTGAACATAATGAATAGGAGCTTATATGATAGCAAAATTATGCAGGAATCGGAAAATTGCTAAAGTCAAAATTATTCTAAGAATAATGTTCGCATTCTCAGTTAGAGTTGCACGTAGAAGAAACATAGGTATAGGACAGTGGAAAGATATCTGAAAAACACAATTTCCAATAAGCAAACGTAACTAGATTCTAAAGGAATTTTCCAAAGTATGAAATGTATAGTTTTGCCCCTGTTTGATGGAAATTATTCGAAAAAACAATGTTTAGAATAGTGAATTTTTGGGGAATGTGTGATTAAAAAATAAGCACAAATTTTGGATTTACATGTACAACATTTTATTGTGTGAATATGTGATTGAAAATTAGTAAGTAGAAAAAAGAGTTTTGAAATAATGGTTACCAAAGAGGGGCTTTACATGGTTAAAAAAGGTAGAATGAGTAATAATGCAAAGAAAAGATCGTGATGAGTAATAATGCAAAGAAAAGATCTTGCCTTGAAGGCAATGAAATGAACTAACCATGTTATTTTTGGTGTGTTTATACATTATTTTGGTAATTATTAGATTTGACAACATTAATTTTAAAACTTGAAAAGTGCTTTACTAAATGGGTATCTGTCCAAGAAGTATCAGCTCTTGCTGAGAACTGGAAAACCAATCCTCTCGAACATATATATTCAAATAAAGCACAACATTCTATTAGAGGCTATTAGGATGACAACTACGAACTTTATGAACTACTCTCTAACAAACATTTTTAAATAAAAGCATTTGAAAAGGTTTCTACATTCTGAATACTGTAAAATTCATTTTGAAGATTAACAAACTTGATATGGTGAAAGAGTCAAACTCCACTCCATCAACCAGCCACTTCAAGCCTACTTTTAGTTGCTTCATATGATAAGGAAGACAATATATGATAAAAAATATTGAACTCTGCACAACCCGACAAAAGGTTAGATGTTTACATACTATCAACGGTACGAGAAACAAACAAATAGTAACACATCGAAATAAAACATTTAAGACAACAAAGTAATCAAAACGATAAGATTAAAAAAAAAGGCTCAGAGAAATTCATACTGTCTAGTCCAAGATGATTAACAGCAGTGACAAACTGCTGATGGAGCTCGACTGACCAAACCACGCGTGGTTTCTTTAATGAAGATGTATCATCCCTTTCTTCTGCTTCATCTTCCTCGTCCTTTCTTTTCTTCGAATTTTTCCAATTCCCTTCATTGGCTGAAGACGAATATTCAGCATCTTCTGGTGGTTTTTGCTGCTGCTCTCCATCTTCCACACTTCCTGTTTGTTCACAATCCTTTCCTTTATACTCGTCCTTGTTTTTGCGAACCACATGCTGCCATATATTCTTCAGAGCCTCAATACGAACTGGTTTGATGAGATAATCCACAGCACCGTGAGTAATCCCCTTCATCACAACCTTTTTGCCATCGTCCGCGGACATCACTAACAATTAACCACATAACCAAATATCAAAACAAGGTAAGTTTACACGAAACCTATACTTCCTGGTTTCAGGTTCAAAATAGTCTGAAACAAATGAAAAGAGAAACTTACTGATAACAGGGAGGTCCATTTCGAGTCCAACATGCTCGAGAAGTTTGAAACCATCCATATCCGGCATGTGAACATCACTTATAACAATGTCATAACCATTCTTGTTTTCCCTGAGATAATTTAATGCAAGCTCTGCTCGATTGCACTTGGTTACTGAAATCCCAGTAAAAATTAGATCAGTCCCCTAAAAAATTATGAAAAACCATTCCCAATCCAGAGATTATATAGACCCACCAATAAGAAAGATTTGAGCATAAAAATGAAAAACTTGACAATATATCAACTAAATGAAGCATTCCCAACATTAGAATTTCGGCATGAGATCTGAAAGTCAACCATCTGGGTTCTTGATTTCAATAGGGTTTCTCAAGAAAATGAATTTCCACATCTCCATATTACACTATCACAAACTGATCTCCATAAATTGATTAAAATCCCCTTTCTCTGGTCAACAATATATTATGAATTCAAATAAGAAAATCTCAAAAATTATTATAAAAAATAAAAAAATAAAAAAAAAACCCTGTATATTCAACCCAAGATCTGACATGTGAACAATCATACAAAACCCAGAAAAATTGAAATACAGATTTGAACCTCCAAAAAAACATAATAACTACAAAATAAAAAAAATAAAAAAATCCAGAAATGAACAATTCTGAGAAGAAAAATTCACAAGTATGTTTGTGTGTTCGAGGGTACCTTCATAGAGGCACTTCTTGAGCATCTTCTCCAAGATCAAGAGACAAATGGGGTCATCATCCACAACAAGCACTCTGAGACCAGCCGGAAACTGGTCCGAGACTCCATCACCTGACTTCCTAGAAAGACTTGAACTTGGTACAGACATGGATTTCACTGCTTGTAAGCCGCCAAGATTCATTTTTTTCTTCAATTTTCGAACATATATGAACCCAGATAGAAACACTAAACCAAATAAACTTTCGACTCCATATAATTTTTGATTCCGCCCTTAAAAAATATTATCGAGGAAGAAAAAGGAGACTAACCAGAATTTCAAGATTTCAAGCTCTCTTCATGTGTTGCAGGGTTTGAGAAAAAGTGGAGAAAAGAGGAAAAAACCGCTATATATATATGTGTGTATATATGTAGGAATATGAGATTAAATAGTTTTTGTGCTTATGTGCTTCCTGAACGAATTTTTCCTTTTCTTTTTTCTTGGAGTTTTTTGGATTATTTTTTCTGAATTTTTTTCATTGATAGTGGGACACTCTTTTTAGTGTGGATCCAGCTCACATATGAAGTCAAATAACCCCACGCCAGCTGAAATTTTATTGTATACATAAATGCTAAAACACTGGAAATTTCATTTCTTGAATCAAAGTAAATGTAAATTCTTTCCATTTCTTTGGCCTTTTATTTTTTTTCCAAAAATGAAATGAATTTTATTTGGAATTTTTTAAGAAAATCTTTACCATTTTAGACTGTATGTTACATATTAAGTTGATGAAGGAGTTGCACATTAAGTTGATGTAGAGGAAAATCTAATGATTTTCTTACCTTAATAAATTTTTTTGAAGGTTTTAATTTTTAATGAAATGTTTATACTGATACATACATTACCTTAATAAACTTTTTTGAAGTTTTTAATTTTTAATGAAATGTTTATACTGATACAAACATAACTTATTTTAAGATTATTTTAGAAATAAAATTATTTAAGTTATTCTTAAAGTTTCATCATTTTAGCTTTTTAAGATCTCATTCTCAACCATCGACCACCATATATCTCTCTCTACAAAGCTTTATTACAAATGAGATGGAAGAGGCTTGGTCGTTGGATTTGGGAGGAGGAAAGAAGTATGATGATAAATTGCAAGGGCAATGAAAAATCTAAAAAATATATATCGATGATGTACAAAATTTATGACAGTTTTCAGAATTCAGACTATTATCTTTAAATAGGAAGTGAGCAATGAAAGATTTTTAGAGTACTGTTTGAGCTTCATTTTTAAAATTTTCTAATGTTAGCCATGAGAGAGAGATTTAGAATCAATAAAACTGTACAAACAGGATTTTTTGACAGGTTTATAAATCAGGTGTGTGTGGCAGCACCTGGTTTGTTCTTTTTCTTTCTTTTTTTAACTGTCCACCCTCATCTTGACGTGTGTCCCATGAATTGAATCCCTAGTTCCTGTCCTTGTTTTTCTAGCAAGGTTCGATTTAGAATAGCATATAAATTTTTATGAGTATACGTTAACTTTTATAATTTTTTTAATAAACGGATGAATTTCAAGACAACATAAAAATTGTCCATATTTTTTCAATAGTAATTGTCACTTACCTTTTACATCCATAGATATAAATCACTCTTAACAAAAATATATTTTATTTTATTTTTATATAGATTAATAAGAATTCCACATACATCATCCATTCTCAATGCATTGAGTAAAACACAAATCTCTAGAGGCTGACCAATTTGCAAGTTGGCAGTTGCAAGCAACTTCCTCATAAGATTTAAAATTGTATAATTGCCAATTTGCCTTTAAATCGGTGGATAATTACGTGTTGAGCACATGGGGTGTCGTATTTGCATGGCATATACATTTATTACAACATTTTTAATTTAAAAATTATTGGTCATGTACTAAGTCAATCCACAAGTTTCATAAAATGGACTAGATAGTATTTAATAAAAAAAATTTCTCATTATATGGCCTAATTCATTTCAATATGACGTATTACTCATGTTTTAAAAGTACTTGCTAATTGTACAGATGATGTCATCCACTACAAGTATGTATGAATATAGGTTTTGTGAAAAATAATTTTTTGCAATGTATGATTAAAGGATTGAAATAATAATAATAATAATAATAATATATATATAAAATAATAATAATAATAATAATAATAATAATAATAATAAATATATATATATAACATGATACCGGTTGCCACATTTTTACATATTAATTTATTGACTTACTTAATTTATGGTTTGCTTTTTAAATGTTAAGAAAATTGTCAAAAACATGATATCGGTCCTAACCGACAGTCAGTCTTTAACTAACTAAGTGGTAAGTATATTTAACAGAATGTTAAGGCTACGAATTTCAAGGTTTAAATACTTGAAATAGGAATCATTTTTCTTGTGACCATATTGCAACTAGTACAGAATTATTTACTTTCATCTTAAATATTCTATGATAAGTTAATTAAATGAATTTAAGAGTAGATTGATTTAAATATTGACTTTTCTTAAGTCAGCCTATTAACATATCAATATCTTTTGTGATTTGATAATATTCTTACCGATTTTAATGTTGATGTTTTAGGTAAGAATTAATTATAATTTTGTTGATGGCTTTTAAATAAATGAAGAAAATAGTAAGAGAATTACAGCTTTAAAAAAACTTCTACACATATTCGCGATTTGCTATATGAAGGATTGCCGTATTCATGTAAGGGCAAAACAGACTCTATGCGTCATTGGTTAGATTCAAAGTCAACCATCTTCTTCCACGTATTTGTGCAATCCATCTTCGTAAGTTTAGAATGACTATTCTTTTTTTTTTTTTTTGATATCTAGGTATCCCAGTTTATACTAGACTAAATCTTGGACCCCCCAGATCCTTGCTCCTAGAATCTTGGAAGGGGTAAATTGCGGGTTATGCCTCAACTGGATTACAGGTTCCCCCACCGCCTGTACACTTCTAAGCACAAGAGATCCTTCTTCAAAGTGATTGCTCCATACCAAATAAATCTGGTCACAGGTTCCCACCAGGATTCGAACATTCACCCTGCCACTGAAAGTAAGACAAATATTGATTGATCCACCAGTTGAGCTGTGCCCCGTGAGGCTAGAATGACTATTCTTAATTCAAGTGGTGATTGTTGGAGTACAATTGTGAAGTGGTGATAAAGTCAAGATCGGAAAGTTTAATTCTACTTTCCCAACAAAGTCAAAAGAAGAATATACAAGAGGAGTTGCTCTCAGATTTATTTTGATTGGTTTTTTGTTAATTTTTTGAAATTACAAAATCGAGATGGTGATAAAGTCAAGATCGGGAGGTTTAATTCTATTTCCTAACAAATCAAAAAAAGAAGATATAAGGGAGTTGTTTTTAGATTTCTTTTGATTTTTTGATTTTTTTTAATTTGGTAAAATTACAAATCCGAGGTTATTGTATTTTTTTGTCATTTAATTTAGTGGATTGTTTGACTCGTGACATTGGGGGCCTAGTGAATATTTTCTTTGAAGTTTACCCCATTACATCTGGTATTCAAATGTTAATAAGTTAGTTAATTTTCTCAATTAATTAAAACCATCAGAACACACATTCAAACCACACGTTGCAATTAGAATTGCTTAAAACTATTCATAGGATATTCAAACTACATGCCTTCCACGGCATAAATTGAATAATTAAAACCCAATTTTTTTAACTTACTTAAGTTTCAAAATTTACAATGGGTATTTTCAACTATCGTCACGGAATGAATTTGAAAAAATAAACATTTTAGATAATCATATTATCTTATACCACAATGTCGAAGCAAATTGCATATGTTTATTTCTAAAAAATTTACATACATCAAACATTTGATGAAAAAATAAATCGAGTTTCAAGAACCCATAAAGGTTGCATCTTACAAGGAGTTGAAAGAATGCCCCTTAATTGTATTCGTATTTGTATTTTTGGCTTTTACATTCGAGTTAGACCAATCACATTCATCTTAATCAGTATATCTCCCATAAATCTCATGTTTCTACATTGCATACTAATATTAGATATAAAATTAAGTCATATTTAGCTTATAATTGATTAAAATTAAGTCATATTTAGCTTATAATTGATTTAAAAAAAATCATGCTTTTTGACACTTGTTCCTCAACCTATGGAGCTCGAGATTGTGAGTGCAAATCTTTGTCTTTTGTCTTTTGAAGGTAGTGGAAAGTTGTTTTGTGTTGATCAAACATTATCCAATATGGATACTTACATATGGTGAGGAATAAAATCGACAATTTTATTAAGAGATTATTTTGTCCTCTCCGTAATGAACTCCTCTTTATGAACATATAATGCAATCCCACTAATAAAGTAACAAGAAGCAACCAACTAACCCCATTTTCTTTAAAATTGAGAATCATTACGTGATCTTGTTCGTTAAACAATCAATTTAACTTCGTTCGTAAGTATGAACCTTTTAAGCGTTTATAAATGTGCCCAATTATTTAATTAAGTAGTCAATTTTGTTGGTGGGTGTTTACATTAGTTGTCATCTATATTTTGACATAATTGTGCGTTTTTCGTCTTTTGTTATCACTATATCCATTTTATAAACTCTTTATGGTGTAACAACCCAACAATCATCATATTAAAGTATAAGAAATCCAATAATTATTTAGTAAAACTTGTATTAGGGCCAGCATATGTGATGGACATCAGAAGTATGGTTGTCCGTTATGATAAATGTAAGAAGAATTATTTTTCTCTTCCATTTCCTTGTCTCGAGTTTTGTTACTAAAGGCACGTAAAGTAAGACAAGTAAGTATATCAAGTTTTTATTAAAAAGAATAGTGACCATGCTTTCACAACAAACTAACAGCCTCATAAAATTGCACATTGATCGATCTAGTTACTTCCAATTCGTGGAGCTTTGATCAATTTTCACGATAATCATTTGAATTTATCAAATCTTTATAGAATTGGATATTATACTAAGCTTTTGTTTGTCATTCGCATAATAAAATATTTATTTTGCACATAAATTCAAAATTTCCTCTATTTTTAATTATATATTCTTCAAAAAATTACTATTACAGAACTTATTTTTCCCGAAAAGCTATTTTTAAATGTTTGTCAAAAAGAGGCTAAATCAATCTACCTCTTTGAAAATGATTTTCTCTATATTGTTGTCTTGTCTTGAAATCATAACATATTCCATAGGTAGTATTCTATATGATATTATAGGCACAACCTTTATTATATTTCTTCCATTCTATGAAACCTTTTGTCTATTCCAATGAATAAAGTGTCATCAAAAGTTCAAAAACCTCAAAAGTTTGTGTCAACTTCGTCAGCTCCAAACATGAAAACCATTATTTTTTCCAGCATAATTTTTTTTACTCATGTTTTCATCATTTAACAATAAATAATTACAATAAAGGTATTTAGTATTTACTAATACTAATTAATTAATATTT